ATCACAATTACTGAGCCACCTGATTTACTTACAGCTGTGGCCACCAAAATTGGTGTGCGGCCAGACTTGAATGACTGCAGAGCTGCCTCTCTCTCACGCTGAGAGCGATCGCCATGAATAGAGGTTGCATCATAGCCTTCACGGTACAAGTAATCCTCCAATGAATCAGCCCCTTTCTTGGTTTCTACAAAGACTAGTGTCAGAGATCTGGGACCTTCAAGAGAACATGACATCACAATTAACCACAATAAGCTTGCACTGGTACTCTATACAAAGTCAAAAATTCAGCCGGTCCAAAGCCAGCACATAGATGTAGTTCTCAACGTCTACATGTAGTGCCACCAGACCCATAACCTACACCACTGCCTCCCGCTTTGTTGGTATATAAGTCCATTACAAGTAAGGGATGGACCTTTTTTTTAAGTTGGGGGGGGGGGTGGTGTTGGGCAATTTTCTGGAGCATGAAGTTTTTTTCTCACCCTTAGATTGTGCAAGGATTTTTTTTTCCAAGTCAAACACATGACCTGGATGGTATAAAGCACTTGGCTCCCCTTGCACAATTTTTTTTTTCAGCAGTTTTTGCTGTGTAAGAATTTTTTTTTTTTGGATATTGCCCAGCCCCCCTCCAAAAAATAATGATCTGTCCATTAATATCCCTGGCACATCTGTCAGGTGAACTGATACCAAATCATACTCCTAGAAAGGGAGTAGAAGAGGGTAGAAGAGTAAAGTGTGTAACCCCCACCCCCTATTAAACAACACTAGGGTAACCTGTTGTAAACTAAGCTATTGGTGCTGACAGCCACTGATGGCTGAATTAAGAGCTTGTTGCACAGTCCCTGGTAAACTACTGGCATAATGTAAGTAAAGAGACAGACAATCTACAGACCTGAAGCAGTCAACAGATCCAGCAGGAATGACCTCTTGTCATACTCATCAACCCATATAGTCTTCTGTGTGATGTTCTCACTAGTTGAACCCACCCGACCCACAGCCAAGAAGATGTAGTTCACTAGAAAGTCTCTAGCAAGCATCTGGAAGGCAAAAAAGAGCATTTTAATTAACTGTACATACAATAGTTCATACCAAATGGTTGATTGGGCAATACGTACTGCACTTAAGGATGTAGCACATTAGCCCAGTGAACTTTCTATCTTTAGGCCATACTACAGTCTTTCACCAACAAAGAATAACTGTTAAGAATGACTGCTTTGTTCAAAGAGGTATCTTTTCATATGCCTAAAGTCACAAGATGAAATTTTGTTTGCAAGGACATGGAAAACTAAATGATACCTGGATTTCTTTAGGGAATGTGGCACTAAACATCAGCGTCTGACGTTCACCAGCTTTGGGCATAGTGTCTTGGTCAACAATGCGGCGTATCTGTGGCTCAAATCCCATGTCCAGCATGCGGTCAGCTTCATCCAAGACAAGGAACCTAACAAAATTCACATTTGTACTTTTTTAAATGTGGCTAAATATCATTTAGGCAAGGTTAAACTCAAGCTAATGTAGCCAGCTAGCGTGTCCATCCAGCTAATATCATTTAGGCAAGTTAAATATGAGCTTATGCAGCCAGCGGTTTCCCCATTTGGGAGTACGTGACCTGTGGGGCGGCCTTCAGGGGTTTTGCAGGGGTTT